AGCAGATTAAAAACTGGCCAGGCTACCCTGTTGAGACTGACTCACCCATCTGCTCCATCAAGAGAGAAATTCCATTCCTGCAACCTTCGGAACTGTAGTTTGTTGTTTTTTTAACTTGCAAGAGATATAAAACTTTCGTTTTCACAAGGGCCTGCCTTCCGCCACAGGAATCCCCCTCTCCCCAAAACAAAATTTAAAGCCAGGTTTAGAGGTACGCCCGGGATTAAACCCAGGGCCTTCTGCCCTCCCCCTGCTGGGTCGTCTCTTTGACTAGCTCTGCTTTCCCCGGAGCTCAAATCAAAGGCAGGAGGGCAAACCGAAATGCAGACATTCACGGCTGCATCTCATTCTCCCAATTGAAGAAATCCTAGCTGGTGACGGGCCTCGGTGGTCAGCAAGGAATCCATCAACGGCATAAAATCAGGTGGGCGAGAAGGGGCCTCGGAGACCATCTACTCCAAACTCCAGTTCTGAACATATATATATTTAAAAAGGACGGCCGAACAGAAAAGCTACAAGTCGGATGCACGCTTGAACCGAAAGCAGGCCTTCTCCCACGTGCGCGTGAACGCTCTCTAAAAAGGTGCCACCGATACGCTTGCGTTAAAAGCCACGAATCTGGGTTTCTTTAAGGAAGCCTGCGTAACAGAAGGAGGGGCATTTTGACAAACTTTTTAAAATATATATATATATATAAATGCAAGCCTGGTTTTTGCAACCAGTTATACAAACCTTTCTTGGTTTGTGATGGATAAGGACTAAAAATCTCCCCCTTTGGGAGATTCGGCCATGCTGTACGCTCCATGTTGGAGCCTGGCAGGGAAGGAGAATCTAAATTCACAAGTTTTAATCTACATTTCTTCCATCTGTCTCGGTTTTCTGCTCCTCAAGCAGCTCGCAAAGAAACTTTTAAGCTAAGAGGAAGACTCGGCTTTTTCCTGGCTAGAGAGCGTCCTGCCTCGAGAGTCTCCACCTCATGCGCGTGTCGTCCAGGGAGCTAGTCGCTATCTCTGCCTGCCCCGTCTTCAGAGCGCAACAGGAGGCTTACTTCCACGCCTGGCGCTTTGCAGAGAAACGACAACTTGAATCTCTTCTCAATGCCCAAAGTGTCTGGTCATAGCAATAACTCGGCAAGATCTGCCAAGGATTACCTTTTTTCCCCCCCTCCTGCTTCCTAAAACTCCCGAAGGAACCTTCGACCAACGCCGTGCACGGAAGCCTTCGGGTGCATCGGAAGGAGTTGGGGGGGGGGGGGGGTAGATCGGCTTCGACCTACCTCACTATTAACCGGCCCAAATTCCTTTGCTGCTTTTGCAAGAAAAACGGGGAGATTTCAAGAGAGAGCAGAAGGGCCCCCGTTCCTCCTTAGTGTTCCGATCGGAGCCGCTCCGAGGCCGTTCAGGTGGGTTGACCGGACCCATCATTCCCAGCCCCACAGTCCTTCCTGGCCTGGGGTGAGCAGCAGCTTCGACGCGCCTCAATCTTTGAGCCC